TTTTGCAGCTGCTTGAGAGTCTTACTTTAGAACAAAAACTTGGGCCAGGATATAGCTCAGAGGCACAAATCCTTGCCTGGCAAGCTCAAGGCTCTGAGTTCGATTCCCAGTACCAAAAAAAGAAAAAAAATTTGTCTAAAAAATTAAGGAATTGGGGGCTGGGGATTTAGCTCAGCGGCAAAAGCGCCTGCCTGGCAAGCGCAAGGTCGTGAGTTCGGTTCCCGGTACCAGAGAAAAACAAAAAAAAAAAAAAAAAAAAAAAAAAAAAAAATTAAGGAATTAACTAAGTTACACCAGAGCTATATCAATAAAAAGCAGAAATGATTAAAAGACTCCAATGGAGTGTGTGTGTTCTCATAGATACTGCAGCATACTTTCCAGAAATGGACAGAACATGGGATTTAAAAAACAACAAATGAGGCAATTAAGGACCTAAAAACACAATTAGCCACTTTAATATGTTTTATATGTTCTTATAAAATACACATCTTTTCAAAAATCTACTGAACAATTACAAGTTGATCATGTGATAGGCTACAAAGAAAGCTTCAATAATATTTTTTTTAAAAAGTTAGCAATGTTATAGGCCATATTCTCTGTCCACAAAGCAATAAAACTAAACATTAAACAAAAAAAGAGCCACTAAAACTTTAACCACTTGGGAATATAATCCAAAGGTTATTTAGAGGAGTATTTTTTTAAAAAAAGAAATTCAAATGCAGACTATTTAAAAATGGACAATGACAACATTGTATAGCAAAACCCATGGGATAGTTCCAAAATAGTCACTCAAGAAAAGAAATGAAGTAAAAAGAAAAAATAAATAAACCAAAAGAATGTAGAAATGAACAAAAATAAGAAGTTGAAATAGACATCAAAAGCCTTGATAATAAATGCAAAGTTGGGTTCTTTGAGATTACCAACAAAATATCTATCTCTGAGTCTGGGGATTTAGCTCAGTGGCACAGTGCCTGCCTGGCAAGTACAAGGTTGTGAGTTCGATTCCTGGTACCGGAAAAAAACAAACAAACAAACAAACAAAAAACCAACAAAATATCTATCTGTGTCTCTCTCCCATATGTCTGGCCAAGAAAATAAAAAATAACTTTAAAATATTAAGAACTAAAATAGCTCCAACTAAAAAATCATAGCAAGAGATGGAGGGAAAGAGCAAGAAGGCTTTATATTAATATACTTTAAAATGTAAGTGAAACAGACCATTTTCTAAACAAACACTACCCAAAACTGATTCAAAAAGAAACAGAAAACTTCAACAGACCCATAATCAAAGGGAAAAATGTGAATTATAAAATTATTGAGAGTACCTAAATAATCCAAATAATTTTACTGGCAAATTTATTAAACCCTCAATAAACATATCAATGATTTCTAAACTGCTGGGCAGGGATGAAAAGTAGTACTCCAACTCTTGTTACAAAGCCAACATAACTCTCATACTAAAACTGAGCCAGGATTTCTGTTTTGTTCTGGGTACTGGGAATCGAACTCAGAACCTCTTGCTTGCCAGGCAGGTGCTCCACTGCTAAGCTATATCCCCAGCCTCAGGATCTTTTTTTAGCAGTTTTGGGGATTGAATTCAGGGCCTTCTGCGTGTGAAGCAAGCACTCTATCACTGAGCTATATCCCCTACCCAGAGATAGATGGATAAATCTTTCAACTGGAATGGATAAACTTTACATAAATAGAGATCCAAAATCTCTATACAAATGTTAACAAATCATAGCACTAAATTACAAAATTAATACAACTTCAGAAAAATACCACCCTAGGTCTTCTGAGATAGTTTGAATTTTTTTTTTTTTTTTTTTGGTTTTTTTGGTTTTTCTCCGGTACCGGGAACCGAACTCACGACCTTGCGCTTGCCAGGCAGGCGCTTTTGCCGCTGAGCTAAATCCCCAGCCCCTAGTTTGAAATTTTTTAAAAACTTGATCAATATAATTCTCTAGAAATTTTTAAAAACCTTTTTAAAGAGTACTTCTCAAGAGCCTCCTGCAAATACTTGTAGTATAATACAGAGCTACTCCAATGAAAGTCAGGAATAAGCAAGAATACCCATATATCTCTACTATATTATGAAAAATTACTATGGAGGGGCTGGGGAATTAGCTCAGCGGCAAAAGCGCCTGCCTGGCAAGCGCAAGGTCGTGAGTTCAGTTCCCGGTACCGGAGAAAAACCAAAAACAAAAAAAAAAAAAAAAAAAACGAAAAATTACTATGGAGATCTTGGCCAATGTGAAAAAGCTGCAAAAAGAGAAACAAGCCAAATATTAGAAAGAAATAGATAAACCTGCCACTATTTTCCAATACAACTGTCAAAAATCTAACAGAATCAACTGAAAAATGGTTTTCAGAACAAAAATAATTTGGCAAAGTAACCAGATACAAAATAAATATTCACAAGTCAGTGGCTTTCCTACATACCAACAATAATCAAGTAGAAAATATAATGGGTTGGAAAATGCCATTCCTATGAGTAACACAATCTTTAAAACACCAAGAAGCAAACCTATTAAGAAATGTGCATGACCCCCAAGATGACTGTGCAATTTTTCTGAAAAACATCCAAGATCTGAATGATGAAGAGACCCATTTCAGGGTGGGAAGACTTAATATAAATTCGTCACTTCTCTAAAAATGAATCTACAAATTCCATGTGATTCCAGTCAAAATCCCAATGGGATTTCTTGAGATGATACAAAGCTTACGCAGAAGAACGAGTTCTTACTAGTCTGTAGTGTAGACTGTATGCTGTTTAAAAGAATAACACAGTCTCACAGTAAGAAGGTACAGTAATTAAAAGAGTTGAAAATGATGCAGAATTAGGTAAAATGGTTAATTTAAAAGAATAAAAAGTCTACAGCCAGATCCATGTATATTTGAGAATTTAGAAAGCCGTGAATGTGTCATTTCAAATCAACGGGGAAAGAACCAATTATTCAATCGGGAATTACCACCCTCCTCACCTGGCCCCACCCCCCAGTGATGCTCTGAGAACAGCAAACATCACTTCCGGTATTCTTGCAAAAAAAAAAAAAAAAGTTTAACTTGAATCTAATTCTAAGGACAGACTAGCTAGACCTAAAACTGAGGGATGTTTTACAAAATAACTGAACAGAAAGCCTCAGAAATGTCAAGATCATGAAAGGCACAGACTGACAATCTCCTCCATGTTGAAAGAAACTAAAGAACAACAGAAAAACTGAATCCCACTTGTGATCCAGAATTTTCATATCCTGTAAAGGGTGCTGGAATACATGGTCAAAAAGGAAAAAAGTCTGTAGCTAATATTCTACCTGTGTTAATTTTCTAATGTAATCACTCACTGCCGTGACACAAGTGAATGCCCTGTTTTTATGAATACAGTACATCCTGAAGTATGTAGGAGTAAAAGGGCATCATGCCTGCAAGAAGACGTGATGCCTTAGAAGAATGTTACAGGAGAAAGCGAGAAGGGAAAAGGAGAAGAGGTAAGGAGAGATGATGATGGAGCTGACATGGGAACTGTTAACATTTAGGGACTACGAGTAGAGGATATGGGAATTCTCTGTACTTTGCTTACAACTTTTCTACAGGCCTGAAATTACAGCAAAATAAACTTTTAAAAAGTAAAACGAAAATTGCACGATCCCTTAGTATAGATATGATTTCATCCTTAAATACATTATAAGCCTTCCCTGGGAATTATAAACACCAAATTCTACACAGTTGTTACTTTTGGAGCCTGACGGGAATGAGGCAGAAAAGCAGGTTTGAACTCTTGCCACAAAGTTGCCTGAACTAAAATCAGATACGGCAAAAACAAACAAACAAGGTGAATAAATGAGGAGATAAGAGGAAGACACCTGGAAAAATACATGAAACTATAATTCCTGATGGATTAAATAGCTAAAAAAAAATCTGCAAAAATGCTAAATAAATAAACTATCCCAGCTGATCCTTTGAACAACTGGGTGATGTAGGAGCACAGACTCCCGATGCTGTACCCACGTCCATCTTTCTGCACGGCTCGCAGTAGAAGTTCCCCTGTCCTTTGCAACTCCTGCACAGTACACTTTACAAAATAATCCAGGGGTGCCAGATTCTAGAAGACCCCCAGACATTCTTTCAACAAATAGTTACTATTCTTGGCCCCATAGCAGACACTTCATTTATTTGACTTAAACTTCACACCACCATTATGAGGTAGTTTTCATTATTCCCACTTTTGAGCTAGGGTCACCGGGGCTCAGATTCTGGGGTTCATCAGGCAGCACTGAGACTGGGACCCACATCTGTTTGTCTCTGGAGCCTGATCCTGGCCCACCTGATCCTATGCCTTCCATTTCCCCAGAGAAAGAAGTACCAGCCCGTGGCCTCAGGCCAAGCACTCTCTTCCCTGGGATAAACGCATCCATCCAAAGACACCGACAAGAACAGGTCCCATCTGCTCCTTGGACAGCCACTAAGCTAGCAGCCTGAGTCTCAAGAGACAAGTAAACATGAACATGATTCATTCAACAAACACTTGTTAAGCAGCTACTAAATGCCAATCCTGGGGATACAGCCAGGAACTAGAGAGACTTCGTATCATCATCAAAGAGTGTATAGTCCAAGAGTTAAATATTCAGTCAACCAATTACGACTAACTGGGGCAGGGGAGGAAGCGAGGAGGCAAGGGGCTCGCCACACCGCGTCTTCCCAGTGGCCTGGAGAGAGCTGTTTCTTCAAAGGTCACCCACAAGAAGTGCAAGACTCAAATTCAGCATTTCCAGCCCACCTCCCAGGCCGCATCCTCTCCTGTGCCACAGACACACTCTGGACACAGTGCTGGGGAGTTCCAGGCCCACTGGAGGGCAGATGGGGCTTCTGTCCCTGGGAACAGCGCTCATCCATCCCAGTGTGGCTTTGTGGGCAGCTGCCAAGGGCGTCAGCTGTGCCCTCTCCTGGCCCTGGCCCTTGGCTGGCCTCTCCCACTTTAGCTCCTGAAATGACACACTTACCTTGGCTGGTGCTCCCTTTACTGAAGCCGGTACAGTGGGGCATGATGTCAGCTGAGAGGCACTAGCCACAGAGATCAGCAGGAGCCGAGTCTCACAATGGCCAAGGGTGGGGGGCTCGCTATCCTGGGCCCTGAGCCATGAAGCAGCTCCCCACAGGCAAGGGGACCCTGGCTACAGCCACAGCCAACCACAGGGGCTCCAGCTAGCCACCTGCAGTCCCCCTCACCTCTGACAAGCCAAGGATCTTGTGGCCTTTCATAAAATCAGGCCCTGGTCTGTGTTTCCACCGGCGGGGGGCGGGGGGAGGGCCGGCTTGTGCCAGATCCTGAGCTCCACCCCACTATTCTGAGCCCATTCGCCTCTCCATCCTGCATGGCGCCTTCCTGGAGCTGCCATAGCAAATGAGCTTACACAGCATAAAGCACTGTACAAACAGGATACCCTGGCAACCCGCGGCCCTCCATGCTGAGACCAGGACCAGGTCTTCCCAGACCTGTGAGTCACAAAAGCCTAAGAACTCACTTAGTCCAGGATGAATCACTAGCCACATCTGCACCAAGTGCCAGAAGACCCTGCTTTACCCACCACCCAGAAGGCACATAGCAAGAGGAACCCTTTCAAAGCCCCCCTGGAGACCATGTTCCCTTCCAACGATCCCAAAGGGAAGACACATTTGGAATTTGCTCTCTGGAAACAAATCCTTCTCATTTAAGGATGTTCTGCTTCAGCACAAGAGTGACCAGCCTGCCATGCTTTCCATCACCCAAGCACTGGGCTCAAGCACAGCCCATATGTTTTGTCTACTTTGTCCTCACCACTGACAATAAAGGCTGGTGTAACTGTTATCCCCACTTTTCAAAGAGGAAGTGTCACCTGGCCCGTGTCAGCCAAGGGGCGGCCATGACACTGACGCACAGGGTCCTCCAAACCTCCCATAACCCTGTGACAGCACATGGAGTCACCCTCAGGCACCCCATGCCCATGAGCTCAGTCCCGGCTCACTCCTCCCCATCACTGTGACTGCTGTCCTCATTTTTAGCAACATAAACCACTCATGTGACCCTTTGGCCATCCGTTCTCAAACTGCACTCCTCTGGGGTCTTCCTTTCCCCTACCCCAGCGCCAGCTCAGCCATCCACTCCCAAGCCTGGGTCTGACTCCATGACAGTCTCAGTTCCAAGAATCCTGTCCGCAGACTCCCAGACCTTCCCACCAGCCCTAAAGTCGGCCTCCAGTGGGACCTGCAACCCACCCCAACCACCCCTGCCCCTCCCATGTCTCGTCCCCTCACTGTCGTCCATCTCAGTTACAGCAAGGCCTGGCCCAGTAACAACCCCTCCTACACACACAAACACACGACTGTTCAAGCCTCAGCTTTCTCTACCCTTTCACTCTCTGAAAAAACCCCAAGTCAACCCCTAACTTCCCTGCACTGGAAAAACACAGACAGCCATGTGGGCTTGTCCCACTTTAAACTGTGACCTCGATCTTCCACTGGACTCGGTACAGCCAACAATTTCCCTCCACCATCCATGGTCCTTGTTGAGTACTGCAGCCTCTCATCTTTTTCCTCAACCCTCAACCAACCTGCTCTCTACTGTCACCAGCTACTTTCCCTGAGAAAATGAAAGCGATTTAAAGAGAAAGACTCATCGTCCTACCACCACCTCCAACACCCTTCCGTCTGTCTGCACCGAACCCCTCCTCCTCGTCACACCCACTAACTGTACCTTCCCAGGGGGGTGCTGGGGGTGCTTTGTCAACCCAAGGTCACCATGCCAGCAGCTTCCCCTCCTCTCTCCTGTGACACACCTTCCCTGTCCCTCAGACCCTCTCACAGCACAGGAAAGAGGCTGCCACACCAGCACTGCGTCCATGTCCCTCCCTCCGACTCTGCACCCCTGCAGAGCAAAGTCCCTCCCACTGCCGCTGTGGTCTGGCTGGCTCTGCCTCCTCGACTCCCATTTTTTAATTCCACTCCTAATCAGCACCCCCTGCCATCGGGCCTGAGATCACTCTCCCTGAGGTTGCGAGTGGTCAATACCGCCAAACCATGGACAGCTCACCTTCCTTCCTACACCTAGTCTTCTGGGCTCTGAGGATCCCTCCCCTCCCGGCACCCTCCCTGGGGACTGGTTCCTCCTCCTCTCCCGCTAGAGGTGCCACAACTTGCACTCCATAAGGGCGCTCATCAAGTCCACAGTCAAATGCCACCTACATGCTGTTGATTTGCCAGTTTTCCACCAGAGCTCCGGACGCATCTCCAGCGGCTTTCTTACCCTCCACGCTTCGCATCTCAGAGGCGCCCTCAGTGCTGCCTGTGTGAAGGGTCCTATGTCCCACCCCATCCTGCCAGTTCCTGCTCCCCTGAGACTCACCTCATCTAGGAACGGTGCCACCAGCCATCCCACGCTCAGGCCAAGCTTAGGCTGGGCAGCCACGAACTCCACTTCCTGTCACCAGCCACAACCAACCTGCCACGAAGTCCTGCGGCCCTGAAGTCAGCCTGCAGCCCACTCCTGATGGCTCCATCGGCCCTCCACAGCCCTCTCCGAACCAGCATCACCTCACACACTATTCTCATTTCCATTTTTCCCCTCACAGCAGCCAAGGGATTCTTTCAAAATGTTAACCAGCTTCTAACACCCCAGCCCAAAACTTTGGGCTCAACCTCTTTTCAGTGGCTATGAAACTGTCCACCGTATGGTTACCTCGCCTAGCCAGCTACCCTATCTCCCCCTTACCACAGGGGCCTTTTTCCTGTTTCTCCAGCACTAGCTCATTTCAACCTCAGGACCTTTGCATTTACTGGTCCTGCTTTTCCCCACCAATCACAAGGTTTACTTCTTCATTCCATTCAAGCTTTTTCTTAAAGTCAGAGTGGCCTTTCCTGATTCCCAAATCTCAAACAGCCCTTCACCCAAGTGCCTGGCCCTCTCTGTATCCCAGCCCCATTTCATCTGTCTTCCTGGCACTTAACATTATCTGAATTCTATTACTTATTTAGTCATTTCATCTCTGCGAGGCCAGGGATCTTGTCTTATTCACTGCTGTGATCTCAATGCCCACAACAGTCCCTGGCCCACAGCAGGCGATCTATAAATACACGCTGGATAAATGAACTCACAAATGAATGAATCAATCAGTGTACTAAATAGCCTCCCGTCAGGCCAGGGAATGGAGAACAGTACTGTCCGACAGAAATAGAAAGTGAGCCACCGTGAAATTTTAGATCTCCTAATAGCCACATTTTTAAAAATTTTAAAAAGAAACAGTAAAATTAATTTTAGTAATATCTTTATTTAACCCAATATATCTAAAATTACTATTTCAACACGACAGCGACTGAAAGAATTATCAATGAAATGAATTTATACTGTTTGGTACTAAAACTTTGGAATTTGGCATATACTTTTCACTTACAGCAAATCTCAACCTGGGCTCAACGAGCTGTAAGTGTAAAGTATATGCCATGTGGCCGGTGGCTGTTGTTATCTGCACAGACTTGAAACGGGAACCAGAACATGACATTCCCACACCTAACCCTTTCCCACAGACCTCATGGTTCTCGGGATAAAGCTCCAACTCCTCGGCCAGGCACAGGACCTGTCGTCCTCGAGCCTTGTCACTCCACAGAGCCCTTGCGCCAAGCACACCTTCAAATTGTGTCATCTGCTCCCTGCCTCTGAGCCCCGGCCCATGCTGCTGTCCCTTCTGCCTCTCCATGCCCTGTAGCATGCGTGTGGCCGTGGAGGCTGGGACCCCTGCTCCTCTGTGGGGTGCACACAGCAGGTGCTCCAGGATCCGAGGGTAACTCTCTCCCCACTTACGTACTGCACCATCCGCAGAATGGAGCCACAACACACTGTCTCCACAACCTGCTCTGTCCTTCCAAACCTAAGAGTTCCTGAATTCAAGGAAAGCAAAATTCCACATAAATTCTATATCTGGCTGAAATCCAGGCAAGAGAAATATTATTGTGGAAAAATTGTTCTTGTCGGATAATCACAACCCAGAAGCCAGAGAAGCAGCAGTTCAATACCAACGCCAGAGGCACTGAGGGCCCAAAGGGACATGGGTACTATAACAAGAGAAAGATCAGCTGTAAGAGAGAGAGAGGCAAGGAATCAGCACCCCCTGAGCCTGTGGGCACCATCTCATTATTCTGATGGATAGAAATGTGGACATGTTCCTGCACCCACTAATTCACTCAACAAATCTTAACGAACACCTTCTCTTCACAGGGCACCATGCCATGTGCTGGGACACAACCTCAAAGGGTAGAAATTGTACCTGATCGTGTCTTCCTAAAATGGCAACAATATCTTATCATTCAAAGATCAACCTGCTACTGGGTGTGGTGGCCCATGCCTGTAATCCCAGCACTCAGGAGGCTGAGGCAGGAGGGTCACTGCAAGTTCAAGGCCAGCTTGGGAGACACAATGAGTTCAAGGCCAGCCTGAACTACAAAGAAAGACTCTATCTCAACAACAACAACAAAAAAAAACACAACAACAACAACAAAAAATCAACGTGCTTCTTTTGGACAAATTTCAAAAGTTTACCACAATGAGGTTCAGTGCTTGTCTAACATTTTAAAATCTCAATTTCAAATTGTGGAATTGGGATTAACGGTAGTTTTAAGTGCATAAACCTAACATGATACTGGTGTAACCAAACAAAACATGCAAAGCTTTTCCTTGCTCTAAATGAGTTAAGTGACATCATATGTAAGAAAATAAGCAACAGGTAACCTGGCTATGTATTTTAGCCACCTCCATCCCAAGTTTCGGTTTTCCAGAAGACAGGCAGTTTCCCCAAGAAGTCTTGGCTGTAGAGAACATTTAACACCAAAGTGGAACAAGGATACATGAATGAAGGCCACTCTGTATCACACCTAGACCCGCTCCCAAGACTCAGGTAAAGCCTACTAGCAGTGGAAAAGCTTTTAAAAACACAATCATCACAGGGAGCGAAGTCCAAGACAAACATGTTCTGAGTGATTGGCTATTCATACAATGTCATGTGACTGCTGCTTCCACTGTTCCTGTAAAGAGGCCATTTTATTATTTAAAAGCAACAGCAAAGACAAAGCTGGTATCTGAAAATCCTTCCAGAAAGCACAAACTCATCATCAAGTC